CCCAGCGGTGCCCGCGGTGGCGCCCGCGCTGCTCCCCGCCTCTTGCCGGTGCCTCCCTGCGCGGTGCTCGCCGATTCCGGCAGGGAAAAGTGACTCGGAACAGGGACAGCGATGAGCCCCAGGCCCGGCCTGCTGGGCACAAGGTCTTCGCCTACCGAGGCAGGGCGAGGCCCCCTTGTACCCGAGGCCTCAACCTGGTTATTCCCCAGCATCCGAGAGCTGGGTTCGCTTTTAGCGTGAGTCTGGTGAAGTCCTGGGAGACGCTCTTCTCTCGTGCCACTCTCGTCCTTACTACTATTGTTGTTTGAGGAAACCCTCTTCCGTGGAAACACTCCCCAGACCCTCCCATCCTTCCCAAAGTAGTTTCCAAATTTTAATCAGGAGTTGATGTTGAGTCTGAAGGAACAAAGGAATCCACTGTGTTTAAAAGGCGGACAGGCTGTGAGTCTGACACATGTTGATCTCTGAGGCATTCCAGGAGTTTCTACCTTCCATCATGTCAGTAATTTAATTGGATTCTGGCGGTCGTAAACGAAGAACAGAATGTTAGGTAATTTTATGTTGATACATATATATTTTAATTAATGGGTCAGTTTAGTTAGGGGGAAGTCCCGACGTTCTGAGGTGCAATAACTTTTAACTCATTTTTGTGGCACCAGGTTGGAGTCTGTATGCTAAATGATTGTGACACAGGGAAAACCGTGTTTTTAGAGGAAGAGAGACACTGTCTAAAAGTAAAACAAGGTTGCTATGTCTGCGTCTGTGTACACCTATATATGCGTAAATGATATGTAGTCTTTGGATTTTGTAAAGCAAGGGGCTTCAGTAATTCATTCTGTAAAGTTATGAATTACAGTGAACCTGCTTATTAGTGAATCATGGGTTTTAGCAAGTGGGCGGCATCTTCCCGATGCTATTATTCAGAGTTTAATCATCAGTTTGCCACCTTTGTCTAAGAGACAGTGAAGTAAGTCGACTTTTTAAACAAACGGTGCTTCATGTGCGTGGCCCCTAAACGTGGCTGCTGTCTGGAGTGTGTTGCAATGTTCTCCCACTTCCAAGTGAGTTGCCCTGGTTTTGCCCAGCAGCTTGGTACTGTCCATAGGGTTTAATTGATTCAGGGAGCCTGGCTTCAACACCAATGGGAACTTTCTCTGTTTGGACTGAGTTCCTATAGACAAAGAAAGACAATCAGTTAGTGCAGCAGGCATTACCTGTGTCCTCTAGGACTGGATACTTAACTCCAGCCTGTTTTATACCGTGGTGGGGAGAGTGCTTTCCAAACTTAGCCTTTGAAGTACAGGAGGAGTGTGAGAGAAACATATTCAAGAAGTAAATTGGTTGCTGCTTTTATACCAGTGAGCTCCGTGCTGTGCCTTTGGGATAGTTGAAAGTCTGGCTTGAAGTCCAGGAGAAGACTGCAAACCACTTGTCTGTGTTTCCAAACTTTGTTGAACTTGAATTTTCCTTACTGAGATACCTGGAACTAGTGTGAGTTAGCCATGGAGAAGTGTTGGTGGATGAGGCTAGGGCTCCTCTGAGTTTTCCAGTTTTAAGAGCAAAACATTGTGATAAAAAATAACCTATACCACCACCTAGAGTCTGTTTGTTAGTTTATGGCTCCTGGAGTTTGCTTACATCGACATGTCCCTTATGGGTGCTGTTTAGTCCAAACATGATTGAGAACTTCAGGCTTTCCAAAGGCCATCCAGGAGAACAATTATTTAAGTAGTAGACAGCCAGTGCCAATTTAAATTATCCACGCCACCTTCAGAATAGAAAATTATGACATATCAACTCAAGTGGGCTGTGTTCCAAAGATATTAATTCAGAAGTTTAGGACGCAGGCTTTTAAGCTTGTGCTGCATGTAAGGTGGCTCGGACTTAGATTTTTTTCTGTGTTTTCACAGATTCAAGAGACATTGCGAAATAAGTGTTCTCAGTGCCTTTTGAGGTTCAAGGGAAACGAAAGCAATGGTAAGAATATAGACGAAGGAGTATTGCCCCTGCAAACGTTCTAGACATTGAAAAGGTCAGAGAGAAGTAGACAGTCGTTGGATTTGGGTTCCGATATGTACAGTCACCGTGAAGCAGAGTGATAGTCTGTCCTGCTGGTGGCTTATAAGCAATAAAGCAGTCTGTTGAACAGGGGACCTTTGGGAGGCAGCCTCTGCCATGTGGCTTAGCACATTGTCCAAGGAGGAAGTAATGTTCCTCCTTGAAACGTGTAGCCTGAAAGATGGCCTCCAAGATCTTTAATTAAATATCAGTCGAACAGGGAGAACTAGAGCAGTGTATTAATTCTGTCAAACATCACTATTTTAGAACATTGAGGAGAACTAAAAATGAATTAACTCCTATCTGAAAGCCGAGCTTCGTAGAAGGGTGACAGATGCGGCAAAATATGCCAATCTAATGGAACACATAGGGAGAGCAGGATAGACGTGCCATCCTTGGCTTGTCACTCCAATGGAACACATAGGGAGAGCAGGATAGACACGCCATCCTCGGCTCCCTGGATAGTTGAGAGAAAAAGAAGTTACTGCTAATTGTGCAGATTTCTTCTCAAAGCAGGACGAGAAGACCATGGCCTGGAGGTCATTTTAACTCAGAGTGGCTTAGGATCTAGGAGGTTAAAGGTGTTAGATTTTTTTTTTTTTTAATTTGTAAGCCTAAAGATTGTCAGCAAGTTAGGTCTTCCAGCAAAGCACTAATAGTTTGATGTATGAAGTTAAAAGATCATTCAACTAAAAATACATTCAAGACATTTAAATTTGAATCAGTAAAAGGCGTGTTCGTTTTAAACCGTGAGTCCCTTTTATGTTTTCAAATTTAGGTATTTAGGTTGCGTAACAGTTTTTAAAGCCTGGGTCAGTTTCTTTCTCTGCCCCTACTCTCTCTCCCTCCCTTTCCCCTACACCCTCCTCTCCAGAATAAACAAATCCCGCATCTCTAGCCACTTTCCTCTCCTCTGTGAAAACGGGTTGAGCTTTCTTCCCCATGTGTGGCAGGCTGCCGGTTAGTCTGGCTGTTTCTCCTTCCCTTGCAGGGGACTGCTACAGTCTGAATGGGTTGTGGACTTTCTCATAATGACTTTTATTCTTACAGGGATGGTGACTGGGGCAAAAGTATTTCCTGCCCTTAGCAAAGTCCTGTGTGCCCATGTCTTCCCACTGGAGGCATACTTTCATTTAAAATGCCTTGACTTCTGCTGAAGAGCAGAGCTGTTCTCAGAGAGTGTGGAAGGGTGACATCCTGAATGGACAGAGGTGGGTCTGTGCATTACACAGTTTGGGATTGAGCTCCTGAAATTGTGGCTTTTTAGGAACCAGGGGGATGAGCAGGTTCATTTAGTAGTATTTACATAACAACAGTCAGAAACCGAACTCTACAACGGACCTGGACCTGAGGAAGGTAGCCACCAGGCGTGTCAGGATGAAGCAGGCCCATGGCGCGCAACTGGGATCTGTGCAAAAGTTGGAATGAACGAAAACGTAAATGGAGGAGGGAGATCTTGTTTCCCATCCGTGTTTGTATCTGATGCTGAACGGGGCCCTGAATTGCTGATGGTAATGGATTCCCTTTTATGAGGCCAGCAATATTATATAAACAGTGATTGTTTGAGGGAGTGAAATGGCAAGTTCTCCATTTGTGCAGATTCACAGCGAGTTTTGAAATGTTCCCTAAGTGTATCTGAAATGGAAGGTCAAAATTGGGTACCAGAATAGAATCAGGAGGTAGAGTTTACTCGGAAGAAAATGGATATTATGCCCTTTTCTTTCATCTCTTTTTAGGATCTGGGGTTTTGATAAGTATTGCTGTGGACATGGGAAACTGAGTCCTGAGGTTTGGGGGGTGGACGTCTTCGAGCAGACTCTGACAGAGATGGCTTGGTGTAACTGGCTAAGGGAAGACTGCTTTGTTTAAGTTACTGTCTCATTATTCAAGGGGAGTGGAGAGCAAAGAGACAAAAGTCTCATCAGGGTTCCCCTACAGTGTTTTTCTTTTCCTTCTTCATCACTGATATTTAATATTCAATTTGTATATACACTAGATGTATAGAAATTCTGAAACTTGGGTTGGAGTTTGTTTTGGACAAAACTTGTGTGTTGCTCTGGGTATGTGTAAGATGCGTTTTTCATCAGGAAAACTGGTATGTAAACTCCTAGAAGGTCATGCCATTTCTTGTAGCTGTTACTATATATTCTGTATCGTGGGCCCCTGACATTCTGATTAGTCCCACACTTTCTTGCAGTCATGTCAGATAAGACATTATAAAGCTTGTGGTATTTATTGATCATCAATATGCCTTAAACATATTTTTCTATAGGTTCACATAACGGAGAATATGTGAATTTTCAAAATTCACATAGAATAGAAATAGAAGTGGATTTTCAAAACTGATCCATTTTACAGTCATATTAGGAGTTTGAATCATGCTAGGGATACTAGCCTAGAACTCTAGGGGAGCTATAGAGAGAAGCAAAGCTGAAGGCTGGCAACCCAAAGAGCAAGAAGAAAAGCTACTTCCGTCCTGAAGGAGGGCATATTATCTGCATTAGTAGGCTGAAAATATTTTTCATATTATGTCAGTTTTTAAGACAGATTATTCTTGAAGCTAATCAGACGGATAATTAAAAGTTTTGATTCACCTGGTTTGTGGTTGAAGTAATGCCTAGCAGGGTGGCAGCCTACATTGAAACAAAGGCTGGGAAGGTAATTGTGACGTCCCAGTCCTGGTCCCCGTCCTGGCCCCTGTCTTACTCTCCTCCTTTCCTCTTCTTGGGCCTTCAGTTAAGAGGATGGGGCTCAACCAAGGGTTTTGTTTAGAAATCTGGAAACTGAATTAGCATTGAGCAGAGTGAATAGCTGCATTTGAAATTTCAAAGTGTCCTTGTTCACTTTCCCCCAGATTTCTCACTTCCCACACTAGGAATGAAAAACTCTAAGTTAAAACCCACCTTTTGTTGTGGTGGGTTTTTTTTGTGAGCTTTTAATTTTTTTTTTTCAAAAAGATCTTTAAGGATGAAAGGAAAAATATCCTTTATTTGCCTTAAATTTTGTGTGGCTAGCCCAGAGTTTCAAGAAACATTAAATTTCGAAGCCTGCTAGGTCCTTCCGTTCTCATCCTGAGTTTCCCACCCGGGACTGGGACCCTCATGCTGATGTTTACTGAGAGCTTCGGTGGGGGTGGAAGGGAATCTCTCACTTTGGACTTCTAATTAAGAAAGCCCGTTTAGTTTAATGATAGACAGGGTTACTCCTTTGGAAGCCTGCAATTTCCATCGGCTGGCTGCAAAGGATTGTGGGCAACTGGGGAGCTAAGGAGTTTGGAGCTTGTATTGTTAGTAGTTTGCTTTGAATATTTCCTTTCATGGTCTTCTGCTCTGTGAAGGTCCAAGGTAGCATGGTGGTGATTAGCAGAGTTGGGAGGAAGCTCATGATTGCATATGGTGGTCAAGCTGGCTGCTGTGGTTGTGAACTTTTAATTATTGAATTTATCTAGACATAACATGTGAACATATTAAATATCATTGTGTTAAAAATGTCAGATGCTAATTTAGCATCGCAGGAGTGAGGTGTGGAATTATGCTTAGATACAAGCTTAGAGTGGGAATAATATTATAATATTGTTTTTAATGTGGTCTGTTAATAAGGTGGGGAAGAACCTGACATATACTGTTGGGATCAAATATTAAGAAGTGCTGTGCTAAATGGGACTTCTTGAGGAATTTCTCTAGAAATTGAGGAAGATGGTTCTGTCTCCCTTCTTTCTTCCCTCTGACCCTCTCTTCGTCCCACCCCCCTCTCTGTGTTTGTGTGTGTCTGTGTGCTGTTGAGGATTAAACCCAGAGTCTTCTGCATGTTAGGCATGCATGTGCTCTCCCACTGAAGGACACCTGCAACCTAAGAGATGGGACCTTTAAGGAGTGGATGATAACTGGGTGGGGAAAACCATAGTTTAAGTTTTTGATTCCTGAATTTTGAGTTTTCTGTAATCTAGTAACAGAGAGGTTGATTTATATACTGGGAAAAGAAACAAAGTAAGGAATTGGAGACAGAAGGAAAAGTCTTGAGAAATATGAGAAAACTCCAAATTAATTAATTACCCTCACAGTATTTCACCAAAATAACCATTTACACAAAGGGTCATGCAGGATCAAGTTTGATTTTTTTCAAAAAATGCATTAAAATAGTACTTTTTCATTCTGCATTTTCTTTTTTAGCATAATCTACTAAATCAGTATTGGATTCTGCTAAAAGGGAAGTCCTTTTGTCTCCCTGGGCAACAACATCCGTGGCATGAGAGGTCAGATGTGATTTTCAGTTCGGAGATTCTGCGGCTGCATGTCAATACATATTGTTGCTCAGGATTTCAAACTGGTGGTTTTAGAAGGAGCAGAGACGACTGAGTGAAAACTTAGCATGCGCAGAACTTGTGTTGCTACACGCCTTTTGCTGTTTGACCCCCTTCCCGCCCTCAGGAGGAGGGGCAGGAGCAGGGAAAGGAAGTGAACTCATCCTCAGGAGAGGACTGCTTTGTGGCAGGCACCATTCTGGCCAGTTTACATGCATTTTTCACTTTTAATCCTTGCAAATACCCCCGAGACTCATAGAGATTATTTCCTCTAGTTTATAGCTACAGAAACCCAGTTTGTGAGCTGCCAGAGTCACTTGCCAGAGGTCACACAGCTAATTTCATTTTCCACGAGAATATGCCGTCTTTGGAAAGGGAAAATAGCTACCAGCTGACTTTCAGGAAGCCATTAAGAACCATTGCTCTCCTACCTGATAGCCACAAGCCTGCGTTCCAAGGATAAATCTCCCAGCTTGATGCTCACAGTCCAGTTTCTCTGGAAAGGCCCCTCTTTCTTTGGTTCCTCGGCTTCGTACGCTTAACCAGAGGAAAAGTAGTCCCCGAGGGCAGCTGGCTACTTTCCCCAAACTCGGTCCCCAAGGGCAGCTGGCTACTCTCC